AGTATGTACCTGTATCTATCAAAGTATATATGACTGGGCCCTGTTATGACTTGACTGGGGGCCTGCTATGACTGACTGGGGTCTGTTATAACTAGGGCCCATTCGTCTTACCTGTGTCAGTACTTGGCGTGACACTCAGCCAAGGTGAGTTAGGGGGACGAGTATGTTTTTCACTGCTGGTCGATACATCAGTTGGGACACACACACACAAGGTCATTAATACCCTTACCTGACCTAATCTAACCTTATCTAACATAACCTTACCAATACGAGACCTGGCAAAAGAAGGAAGGAAAGAGGGGAGGGAGAGAAGGAAGGAAGGAAGGGGGGAAATTGGAGAGGACGAAAGGGGGAAAAGAGAGAAAGAAAGTGGGAAGGAAGGAAGAGGAGTACAGTATGTTGTAATTCTAAACAGTATAATTAACCTATAAATGCTGCAGTACCTCACGTGACCCTATTAGACCTCAGTAATTACCTAAATGATGTTGGTTGGGAGCATTTGGGAGGCGAGGGAAGGAAAGGAGGGGCCCATTAGGACACTGAAGGGAGAGATGAGGGGCCCATTAGGACACTGAAGGGGGGGTAAGGGGCCCATTTGACCAGCCAGAGATAAACTTAACCAATACTAAACAACTACTGTAATCAAATGAGAGTCGGGGTAAGACGGTAGGTAATTCTGTGATAGTATGTTGATGAAGTCGTCAAGATTTACACACACACACACACACACACACACACACACACACACACACACACACACACTAATCCCCCGGAATCTGAATACGAAATAAAAAAAAATCTGAATTATCTTGACTTGACCTAATCCTGACCTCACTTGACCTAACATAACCTAACCAAGTCTTCACTATCTTGACCTGACCTTAAACTAACCTATAACTTAACCAAACGTAAACTATCTTACCCTACACCAGACCTAAAGTAACTTAACCCTAAACTATCCTTCCCTTGGCCTATTCTAACGTAAACCAAAACCTAACCTAAACCCTAAAATTAACCTAATCCTAAACAAACTTCCGGGAACAAACATGACAAAAAATAATAATAAAAAAAATCTCCTGAGGGTATTCCGTTGTTGTGGACACGCAGGGGTTAACTGACACACACACACACACACACCTCTGAATTCTGCCCAGTGCTCGTCCAGTCGTCTCATCAAGTACCCATTACCCTCTCCCTTCGTCAGTACCCATCACCCTCTCCCTTCGTCAGTACCCATCACCCTCTCCCTTCGTCAGTACCCATCACCCTCTCCCTTCGTCAGTACCCATCACCCTCTCCCTTCGTCAGTACCCATCACCCTCTCCCTTCGTCAGTACCCATCACCCTCTCCCTTCGTCAGTACCCATCACCCTCTCCCTTCGTCAGTACCTCCCACAGGCACAACAGAGGCACCGTACAGTATTACCTTGTTTAGGAGGAGCCATCCCACGTAACTCTCGGTTCACTGACCACTGAGTAATGGCTGTGCGTGACCCCTGAAAATTGTTGTGTTTACTGAACCCCGATACACGGTTTTATGTATTTACTGAACCCCGCTGTACAGATCTGTCTTTCTCCTGTATCCCGTTACATCGTTCAGTCTGTCCCCTGTATGATCTGTATTCCGTATCGTAGCTCTGTCCATCTGAAGGGCCTTTAGACAGATATTGGCCACCCAGCATCACCCCCCCTAACACTATATTGACCCGGATAAGCGGATAATCAATAAATACGACCTAGATACTCATCTCTCTCTCTCTCTCTCTCTCTCAGCGCCATCATGTCCACATATCATCCACTAGTGATTCCTCAGACAGTGTTAAAGAAAGTACCACGAACAGGCATACGAACCTAATGATTTTTCAGACGATGTTGATCAAGCGAATCGAACTTAATATACTTTTCCTAGATGTTGTTAAGTTAGGTTAGGTTGGTGTCTGATTCACAGCGAGTAAATAAAAATTCAGTAGGTTGGCGGTCGTGTTCCTGGTGCTTTTCCAACATGCGATCTCGTCATTAAAAATATGTTACAAATATTACCACGAATGAGACATCAGGAAATTACTAAAGACATATTTTTCACCCTTCCTTCCCCCACTTTCCATCATTCCTCACTTCCTTCCCACCACTCCCCCTCCTTCCTTCCCACCACTCTCACCCCTTCCTTCCCTCCCACCCCCACCAGACCGCAGCTGCTCGTCCCTGAATGCCACAATAAATAATATAACCCCCAAGTCCAACACCCCAGCGTAGTGAGAGGCGTAACACACACACACACACACACACACACTATGTGGTCTGGTTCATACACTGTCATACATTTTTGTTGTGGGGATTTTGGAGGTCATGTGTGTGTGTGTGTGTGTGTGTGTGTGTGTGTGTGTGTGTGTGTGTGTGTGTGTCAGTATACATCAATACGTCTGGAGCCAGTGTGCCTTAACCAGACACCTGCAGCAGCTGACGCCACCAACCACACCTTTCTACTCTATATATTTCTGTCTGTGTCTGTCTATCTGTCAAGCGTATCTGTCTGTGTGTATATGTCTGTGTATCGAACTGCCTGACTGATGGATACTCTTCCTGCGTGAGGGATACCATTCCTTCAGTACTCCTTAACGCAGACAATAACTAAGCCTCTATCCTTAACGTAACCAATGGCCAATACTCGCTAAAACAACAGGTGGGAGGGTTATCGCCACAGGGGGTGTGAGAGGGGGTGTGAGGAGAGGGGGTGTGAGGGGAGAGGGGTGTGAGGGAGGGGGTGTGAGGGGGAGAGGGGGTGTGAGGGGAGAGGGGTGTGAGGGGAGAGGTGTGTGAGGAGAGAGGGTGTGAGGAGAGGGGGGGAGTGTGAGGGTGTGAGGGGGTGTGAGGAAGAGGGGTGTGAGGAAGGGGGAGAGATGAAGAGGAAAGGTATGAGGTGTGTGTGTGGAAGTAGTATTATGAGGAAGGGTAGAGGCCAGGTATAGGTACTTCTCCCCCCCTCCAACCTGAAGCTGCCTGTGTTGGGACCCATAATACTCCACAGGTAGGTAGAGGAGGAGGAGGAGGGTGAGGAAGTGAGGGAGGAGGAGGAGGAGGAGGAGAAAGGACGAACAGGAGGACGAGGAGGAGGGTAATCAACCTAGCAACACTATCGAACTCCACGGTTGCCACAACACACCACCACCACCTGTACACCCACCTCCGTTTTCGGTGAGTGCGGGGCGAAGGAGGGAAGGGGAGGAGGAGGGTAGGGAAGGAGGGAGGGAGGGGTGTTAGGGAGGAGGAGGGTAGGGAGGGAGGGAGGGAGGGGTGGGGAGGGAGGAGGGAGGGGTAGGGAGGGAGGGAGGGAGGGGGTAGGGAGGGGAGGGAGAGGGAGGGAGAGGGAGGGGAGAAGGGTAGGGTAGGGAGTGGGCAAGGGTAGGGTTGGGAAGGGGAGAAGGTGGGGGGGATTCTTCAGGTGATCCCAAAACCACTCCACATGTAATATTCAACCCATGACGTAACAACGATAATAAAAACAAGTTAAAAAGAAAATCTAAATAGCTATTATGAGTACGTGAGCGATCAAGGCACGTAAATAACTGCTCGTGCAAGTACGTGAGTGGCCAGGACACGTTTAAGAGCTGCTCGTGCAAATAATGAAAACAAAGGGCTTTTGGGTATTTTTTTTTTTACTTTACTGCGTGGCGTAAGTGAGTATTCGACCACACATGTTCTTCTGGATTCACACTATCATCTGTGGGAGGAGGAAGGCAGCTATCCTTATGGGGAGGAGACAGAGACCCTGATAGAGGAACAGAAAGACTTTCAGAATGCAGCAGCCCCAACTTTTAAAGATAACCAATAATACTGTTGATTAATTCCTGCTATAACAATATTGATCCAACTACTGAGGATGAAGAACGACGCGTCTTAACAGTGAATTAACTAAACTGACACACCAAAAAAAAATCGCAGGAAACAAATATGAACTACGATAAGATTAGTATAAAATAATCCCCGAGATTAGATATGTATATAATAATGATAAGAGAAAAAAACGTGTGATATCAGCGTCTGTTTAAATTAAGGAAACCCACATTTATTCAGAGCAAGACCATCGTTTATCATGGTGAAAAATCTCGTACAAACATGAAAGCGACAATGCAGTCGTACTGAGGCGCCACACTGGTGCTGCAGTCTGGACCACCACCGCCTGTTACAACCAGCCACTAATATATTACTTTCCCTCTCCGACGCGACATGAATCAATCAACTATAACCAAACCGTACCTAGAAACTCTTGTATAATTTTAACTTATGTAAGACAGATTAATTTATTACGTGTTGTGTAATAACCGACGCGTTGATATTCTGTTCGTGGTATTTTTTGTAACACTGTTCACCCCAACACTCCCGCACCTGTTACTGCATAATTCTACACCTGGCTACCAACACTGATACGTACATGACTGCAGGTGTTCATAAACGCGTGTACACATACCTATAGATTCATACAAATGTGCACTACTCCAGAATTCATACACAGTGCACATATTAGTATCTATTCATTCAAGTATACATAAGACTAGGATTTAACAGCACAATGGGGAATTATAATTATCTAACAACCATGCACTTGCAATCTATATCAGTGGGTTGCAATATACACGCATCCACACCACCTGACGCCATTATACGCACCACCATCTGGTTATATATATGCAACCAAAACAGCTGACGCCACAAGCATAAACGCATAACTAGTTTACCTGCATGAGTATACCCGTGACTAGAGATCGACACGCACACACACACACACACACACACACACACACACACACACACACACACACACACACACACACACACACAGTTCTGTAAAGTTGTAGTTATTAATTTATTGAGTTTGTTTATATTTATGGAAGGTTGAAGTTGTTATTATTGTTAATATTATTTGACAGTTTTGATGTCATTTCTAGGTGGTTGCAGTTATTGTTAATGATATTATTATTTGACTGTTAAGTGTTTGTTGACAGTTCTGGGAGGTAATCAGTGACGAGCATGGCATCGACCCCAACGGTCAGTACCATGGACAACACGAGATTCAGCTGGAGAGAATCAACGTTTATTACACTGAAGCCTCAGGTATGACCACCACTTGCTTCACCTTATCCCACTCCACGCCACTCACCTATGCCTCTCCCCTTTCTACACTCACTTGTTACCACTCTCCCATCTCACCCACCACCCCTCTCACTTACGGTCAACGGTGAAATCAAGTACAGGTACTCGTAAAATACCCAATACAGTCAAGTGCCAGGGATAGTGCCACTAAATCAATTATTTTTCAGACCTAACCTAACATAATTGCAGCAAAATTTAACAAATAAAATAAAAACTCGCCCTAAAAAACAGACCCTAGGATAGTTTTTATTCGGTTAAGTTAGTTTTGATCAGTTCGTCAGTTTGAAATGTAAACAAACGTGTAGTCCGCGAGCATGTCCTTGGTACTATTTTAACATTGGCTATTATTTTGGCGCCTACACCACCGGCATTCTTGTGTGTATATTCCACCCACTCATGTATATACTTTCTTCTTCTCTCACGATATAGCACAGTGCTGATGCTTGGTGCGTGACTATGCACTCCTATAAACCACAGTAATTGTAATCTAGCTAGAAACGCTTTGTAATATTATTGCCAACGACCAACAGAAACTGCTCCCCCCCCCACCCCATCAAAATAAACTGAATTGTGATTGGCCACCAAATTTCCAGGGTTAGGTATGGACACTTCCTGATAGGCTGTTGATCACATAAGAACCCAGCTACTGAATTTTAATATTGTTGTGCCTTTTAATGGTGTAGAGCAGGAGTTCAGATATGACATCACACACACACACACACACACATTACGAGTGGTGTAACCCAATCAGCAATCACCCTATATATTAAGATAAATTTAAAATATATATAAACATACTAACATCTCTTGAACGTTGGAATATTAAATGTGAACAATAATGTGGCCATGATGTAAATACGATAGTTAATTTGCTTTAGTATCCCATCGCCTTTGCATTTTCTTTGGCGTTCTTAAACTCATTCACGTACCGTATATTATGGAATCAAGTATAGTATCACGTCCGTGGTCTAGCCTTGCTGTAAACGCTCCAGTTATTTTTTTAAGGAAATTCACTAAGTTTCTTCAACCTTAGGACATTGTTCCCGCCCAAATCTCAAACGTATAAGGTTAGTCCAGTTTAAACCCTTACCGTATCTAAAGGTGTTTTTCCTTCATTAAATATCAAGAAACAGCTACATTAACAAGGGTAGGAGGATATCAACATGTTTTTGTGCGTTCATCCGGCAATCATGGCATTTAATCGGGTACTGAAGGTGTTTGAGTCACGTGTGTTCGCTTGACCTGCAGTAACTTCTCCCGAGCTTGTTGCATTGAGAATGGAGGTGGAGGAATTTCACGCCTTCCAAAGCTTTCTATATTATTTTTTTAATGATAGCAGCCACGGGATTCTTCTAAATTTTACAATATGGTTTCCTAACCTTTATATGTACACAACGAGAGCGAATATGCTGACGCCGCAACAATTAGTACCAGGCGCGCGTCTTCGTGTCTAGTCTGTCGTAAAAAAAAACAAGATGGCCAATGTTAGAAAGTGACCACGAACCATAGAGCCTAAACCAAATCCTCATTTTCGGAGTAGTTGACCGAAACCCAACTTGACTATACCCCCGGAAATTCCTGGTTGGTTAATGTCGTCTGAATAATGAATGATTTGGCGGTTCTTTTCGCGGATTATTTCTATCGCTGACCATTTTGGGCTATATAAAACTGGTTATGGATACCTTTAGTCGCATTCTCAGCTGACGAACGCGTTTCAGATAGCAGTAGATGTAGCCTGCATCCATGGTGGCATGAACATAGTTTAAGTGCCTTTATTGATAACATAAAAGCACGAACTGACATGTACTACAACTACGGTATAGTCTTGTCCGCTTAAGAGAGCTGACTTGTTGTCTATGAATGTATAACATCAGGGAACCAGTTTTAAGATCGTTTGAAATTCAATATAGGTGTTACAATACTGTTTTTGAAGCCTAGGTTATAAGTGGAAGTAAATAAGATGTTTATAGTTCACGTGTAAGATTAATAATTAATGTCATACTATATCTGAACTTCTCAACGGAAATTCAAACACATACAAAAAAAAATCACTGGTACCGAGATCCACGCTACCTCCCCCAACATACTTGAATCTTACGTTAAGTTGAGTGTTTCCATAAATGTCTTGAGTAAACACAGGCTCCACATACAGTATATTACCACATATAAACTTTTACAATGATCAGTTTACGCTGGACCTTGCTAGCGTGATGTCTGTTAAAAGCATCTTTAGACGATTACACTTATTTTTTTTCTATTGACTGGTTAAATTAGTACAAGGCTTAATGGACCCCAACCTAGCCATTAGACTAGGGCCCCAGTCCTTAGTATAGTTTGGGGGTTATTAAGACTAAAGCCCATTAGTCTTAATTTGGCTAAATAAATTACCACAAAAATGTGTATTCTCTTCCTTGTACTAGGATTAGCGATAATTAGTTCGCTGTAATACAATAATTACAATATTTTTAATATTAGAGACGGTAAAATAAACCTAATTTTACTCAACCTGATACATTAACTAAACCCCATCTACTTGTTACCGAGTCGCGCCGCCACGCTTGAAAAATCCACCGCCATTTGTTTGTTTACCTCAATCAATAAGCGACTAGTAAATAAACCTAAAAAATGCTGCGTATTAAACTTAATCTAGATATTTATGATCTGAAAGTGACTACCATATTTTACTTCACTGTGCATAATCACTCAATAATTTTACCGGTATGTCTTCAGTTAGATATTTTAAACATTCATAACATATATTTCAGGATTACGACAGTATAGTGTTCATTCATTTAAGCTGTTATAAATCAACAGTGTGGTAATACTGTCGTCTCTCTCCCTCAAAACACCTTAGTAGGGCCTCGCACGCATGTCATTTATGGCTGACTCCCATTGGTCGTTTCCGCAAGTCACAGGCGTCCAATGGGAAACTCGCCTTAGATAACACTGCGCCAAGTAACATCCCGACACGTCACGGTAAACACGGTAGCAAAGGAATGCGGATATTTCTGAGTCACAGAAAATTGTTTAATGAGAATCTCGAAAACAAAAAGACTTCCTGGTGTCATCTATCAATCTATGGTATGTATCTATCTACGGTATCTATATCTATCTACGTGGTCTGCCAGGCACGCTATAAACATCTTTACACACAGGGGCACCTAAGGACAGCCTCGTGTGCACCCCGAGTCCCTGACCTGACAATAAGGTGTACACACCTCATACCTAACACTAACGATCTTCCTGGAAGCTAACAATGGAGACCTTGGGGTTATGGATTGAACAGCGTCAGCGTCAGGTTCCTGGAAGGTCACCTATTTCTCATGCCGCAAGCGTTACCCCTGACATTCACTTGTGCTGGAAGCTTGGTTATCACGTCAAGATTAGCCCCCCAAGTTTATTTCACATAATTTAATACCTTAACGCTATACCAGGGAGGTTAGTTCATACTAGGTTAAGTGATGTTAGATGAAGTGATGTTATGTTAGGTTAAGTTATGTTTGGTTAAGTTATGTTAGGTTGTTTGGTTAGTTTAGGTTAGTACTAGTGTTTAATCATCTGCAATCTAACACTACTTTGGAAGTTAGATTAGCGTTAGGGTGTTTTAATCATGGGGGTAAAATAAGCTAAGGTGGGGCTAATCTTCACGTGATCCCTTGGTTGTTTTTACCGACCAGATTATCGAAACCTGTTCTCAGCTGCGCCCCTTGAGGGATTCAACACCAGTTAGGGGAGAATCCAAGTTCACGTTGAGGTCCTTCGTGAGATGATTAGTTATAAATACTCAACCTAAACTAATTTCCATCGGGTCTTATAAACCAGCCATGCCTACCTCAACCTCCACCAATCGTCCCTCAACACACCCTAGTATAAAAAAAAAAAATCCATCGTATCTTTACTCCCTACCGAATAAACCTTCAGTGGCAGCCATTTTGTGCCCCCCATCCCCAGCCCCCGTGACCGCCAAACGTCCTCAAGCAAAAGGTCAACTCCACGCATACTGTCACTCGCTTCCATGCCTGAGCTGGGGCCTGAAATGTCAACACAAGTTCCAGGTATCTCCCAGACAGACTATACTCAGAAGGGATCACCTGAAGCACCTGTATCCCAGCTTTATTTCACCTGAAGAATCTCTACCCCAGCCTTATTTCACCCGAAGAACACCCACCGCAGCTTTATTCCACCTAAAGAAACTCTACCTCAGCTTTTTTCACCTGAAGAATCCCCGCCCCAGCCTTATTTCGCTGGAAGAATACCCACCGCAGCCCCATTTCACCTGAAGAATCTCTACCCCAGCTTATTTCACCTGAAGAATCTCCACCCCAAATGTATTTCAACTAAAAACCAACTTAACCTTGTAATGGGAGGGGCACCAACACACGTCGGTCACCAACAACCAATCAGGACATACCATACCAGCATTCACGATGATTTTGTTGTCCACTTTCCGCCAGACACTTTTATTTCGACGTCTAAACATGGCGACATTGTATACAGTATATTTCCCACTAAACTATCATTATTTTTACCCCCCCCCCCTTCACTGAATATCCCATAATTTTCCTCATAACCTCAATTAATAATATTTTCCACGATTATCGGGTATGTCGTAGTAATTCCACAGAACACTCGGTTATTTTCCCCCCATAAACTTTAAGAGTGGTGTTTGTAAGAGCCGCGTGCTGAAGGGTTAGCCAATCGAGTCCTTCACTGCTAATAATTTATTCACCTGTCAGGACATACCACCCATATGACGTCTCGCAGGGAAGAGGGGATCAATGGAGGGGATCCTGAGGTAGTGAATAGGGAGAATGGGCAGGTAATATTGGTCTTCCGTACATGTGTTGCGCCGGGAATCAGATTCCAGTCGTAGCCTCGTATACCGCTACACTTGTTTTTCATTTATGGCCTTCAAATACATCTACTTATCTTATTTACCTATTTGCCTACTTCATCTATTCAGTTTTATCATGAACAAGCAACACAGTCGGAATAATATTACTGGCAATGTCAAAGCTACGTACAAAATCCTATCACAGTAATGTATTTTCAATTTAATTTCAAATCACTAGCGAAATAAACACGCAAATTATCACTATTGCACATAATTCAAAACAAATTAAATAAACTTAGTTGAAAGAGACGGCTGTATTATATAACTAGTAGTAATTAATGATGGACAGTTGATAATGTTTCCTACAAGTATCAGTCAGTCATTAGTCTAAGCCACTCTAAGGCAAATCACTGCTCTAGTACTGATGTCGCTCGCTGGTTAAATCAGGCGATAAGTTCTTCAATTAATGGCGTATACTTTTGAGGGTACTTGACAATAGAGCGAAGAATATATGAGCCAAATTAATAGTAAAATTTTGAAGCGCAATCTGTGCTTCCAGAAAACAGCTCTATATACACTTCAGTAAAAAAAACGAGCGTCGCATTAAAAATACGTCACATTAACACACGAAAATATTGTCAGAAAAATATACCCAGCTGACTTATTTCCCATTTAATAACTGCTGATTACTATTCAATACATACCGTATGCACTTTAAAGAACTTAAATTATTACCTAAAACAAAATATTAAAAATGTGTAGGGAAACTGTATCCATTTTTTTTTTAATTATCGACACCGTTAAATTGTCAGATTTACATTTACATAAGCATGTTTATATACTATGCAATTATACAGCATGAATATAGACAAAATAGGTATACGGCCACGTAGACTATGTGCCGTGACACTGTAGTTATAGAGCAATAGTAAACAGCTATGCAACTTGACCAAGGATTGCCGACAAGGCTGTCAGTGTTTATTTCCACGAAGATGGACAACTAAATAATACTCATGAATTAGAATTTGTCGTTACTAACTTAACGCAGAGAAAATGATCCAACACCTGTACCTGGCAAATGGTCGGCCTCAAGCTGCCGAAATTTCCCGGCTTCGGATACTTCTTCTGGGTTCTTCCTCCGAATTATTACACAACACAAGCACTTCATGTTACATTTTTTATTTTCCATTGCCTGTCTTATCTGAACAGATAAAAACGGCTTAATCACACTCACTAGTTAAAAGAATACGGCGGTCTCTTGTACGAAAACACAGCTTGCTGCCCTCCCGTGGGCAGAGACTTCAACTACTGCGACAAATGGCTCCCTCACTCCCCCTCCCCACGTCACTGCAGTTAACAATTACATCAAACCGCGTTATTTTTTCAGACATATCAAATAAACTAAACTAACACTCTTTTAGCATTGTTACATTAAAGTTTAAGTTTAGTTAATGTCGCGTACTTTCAGAAAATGGTGATTTAGTGTTTTTGTTCGGTGTAGTTTTCCAACAATGTTCACCTTGCTCTTTCACCACAGCCTGCACATTAATACACGGAAATGGTTATTGGTTCCCACCTCATTAGAGATGTGAGAATATATTTACTAATTCACTTCAAAAAATAATAATAAACATAGCTGCCAAAATTACGTCAAATAATCACTGAGACTTACCCGAAATTTATTAAACTCTCATCTCCAATTACGGGGGAAAAATTAACGAAAGATATGTATTTGAATCGCCCAAGATATCGCATGCACGTGTTGATATTTGTATGTACAGTACAGAACAGTATTACAATACCCCTAGTATTTCGTAATGCATATTTAATATTACGATTATTTACTTGATAACTCACCTTAAAACCTCAAGTAGGTCAATATTATTGAAATTTTCATTACCCAAAATTTTATGAATTGTGAAATATGAAGAATACACAATACAGCAATAAGTTATACTAGAGAAATACTACAGATAAATAGATTAACGTAAATAAGTTAGTTAGAAATACATAAAGAATAGACCTGTTGAAATTTAAATGAATAAGGTGAGTGTACTTAGATATGTACAATGGACTAGGTGTATTCAGCCCAGGTGTGTATACTGAAGCAAGTGTACTAATAGCTCAGGTGTGTATACTGCAGCAGGTGTACTAATAACTCTAGGTGCGTATACTGCAGCAGGTGTACTAATAACTCTAGGTGCGTATACTGCAGCAGGTGTACTAATAACTCTAGGTGTGTATACTAAAGCAGGTGAGTTTTAATAGCTCTAGGTGCGTGTATTAAAGGTGTATTAGGACCCCATGTGTGTACTAATGGCTCTAGGTGCGTGTGCTGAAGCAGGTGTATTAGGACCCCAGGTGTGTATACTAAAGCAGGTGTCGTCACAGGTGGGAAGTATGTGCCACGAGCGGTATTAGTGGACCTTGAACCCGGTACAATGGACTCTGTGAGGTCGGGGCCGTTTGGTCATCTCTTCAAACCCGACAACTTCATTTTTGGTGAGTATCCCCCCCTCCCCCTCCTCACTATCTTCTTCCCTCTCCCCACCCTCATTCAGTTTTTGTTGAGATCTAGTGATTATTATCATTTATTGTTGACATTCATTTACTTATAATTGATAATGATAATGTAATAGAATGGTTCAATTTTTTTTTTTTTTAATTTAATTGATCTAAAGGTTTTAATTTGTTGTCTTCTGTCTGTGTGCGTGTGAATAAAATGATATGAATGTATTTTTCACCCTTGGGTTATCATATTTACTCCAAAGACACATTGTAAGTAAACAAAAACGCGTGTGTGTCGTGTACAGGTCAGAGCGGCGCAGGTAACAACTGGGCCAAGGGTCACTATACTGAAGGAGCCGAACTGGTGGACTCAGTCGTCGAAATTATCCGGAAGGAGAGCGAAAACTGCGACTGCCTTCAGGGATTCCAGCTCACACACTCCCTGGGCGGTGGCACTGGGTCGGGTATGGGCACACTCCTTATCTCCAAGATCCGAGAGGAATACCCAGACAGAATCATGAATACTTTCTCCGTCATGCCCAGTCCTAAGGTCAGTCCTCACTCTCTCAACCTCCTAACCTAACCTAACCACATCCTTGTTCTCGTCAAATAGACTCGTCTTAATCGGCTCCATCTTAGGTGGAGGAGGAACACGGGGGAAGGGCGCACCTATTACCTCTGTGACAACTTAACACTTTCCAACATTTCATTTTGCTTCTAAAAATGTGTAACTTCCACTCTAGTCTTCATCTGGCTCCCTGTTGTTAATATTTGTGGACAACAGGTATGGCCAGGCGGGACTCTTTAGTCTCTAATACAGGACATAATTCGATATTTTTGTTGTTGTAAATGATAAGTTGAGCCAGAAACAACACGATTTTTTCATCTGACACTTTAGTTACGGTTAGGTTACAACAGTTGTCTCCTTTACATACACAGATATCCTACACCTTTATGACCATATAAAAGTAACGTCTATTTCTCTCTCAACAGTGCCACTAACCCAGGTACCACTATATCTCTCTCTTATCTCTACCACTAACCCAGGTACCACTATATCTCTCTCTTATCCATACCACTAACCCAGGTACCACTATATCTCCAGGTCTCAGATACAGTGGTCGAACCATACAACGCTACACTCTCCATTCATCAACTGGTCGAAAACACAGACGAGACCTACTGTATCGACAACGAGGCCCTCTACGACATCTGCTTCAGGACACTCAAGCTATCTACCCCAACCTATGGCGATCTCAATCACCTGGTCTCACTCACCATGTCCGGTGTCACTACCTGTCTCCGATTTCCTGGCCAGCTGAATGCCGATCTGAGGAAGCTTGCTGTCAATATGGTGCCTTTTCCTAGGCTTCACTTCTTCATCCCAGGTTTCACTCCTCTTACTGCGCGAGGGTGAGTTATGTGGGCTTCAGTCCTGGTAGTACTTGAATCTAAATTTTAAGATTAGGGCTTCAGTCTTAATAGAACCTCAACCTAACTTAAGATTTGGGCTTCAGTCTTAATAGAACCTCAACCTAACTTAAGATTTGGGCTTCAGTCTTAATAGAACCTCAACCTAACTTAAGATTTGGGCTTCAATTTTAATAGAACCTCAACCTAACTTAAGATTTGGGCTTCAATTTTAATAGAACCTCAACCTAACTTAAGATTTGGGCTTCAATTTTAATAGAACCTCAACCTAACTTAAGATTTGGGCTTCAATCTTAATAGACCCCATATTACCCCACCCCCCTTAGGCTTTGGGCGAGACCTGAATAGCAACAAATGATAATGGTTAAGTTAGGTTGGAGGTCTATCAGAACGGAAGCCCATGTAACTCACCCTGGAACAATGAGTGGAGCAAGGCCTGGAAGGAAAGACAGATACTTGGACCAATTTTTAAGCACTTTTAGATGTGATTTTTCCCTTTATTTCCTGGTTTAAATTTCAAGTTAGGGGCGTCTTGGAGTAAATATTTCCTATGGTAGTAGTAGTAATAGTAGTAGTAGTAGTGGTGGTGGTCGTGGTAGTAGTAGTAATAGTAGTTGTTGTTTTGTAGTTGTAGTAGTAATAATAGTTGTTGTTTTTCTAGTTGTAGTAGTAGTTGTTTTTGTAGTAGTAGTATTGTAATTATTATATCTACTAGGCTCCAATTTAATAAGGTTTTGGTGGAAAATTTCTAATTAACTCAACAGGTGAATTAATACATACCGTGTGTATTACTGGTAAGTCTTATCCGCTCAGTATTTGCATTAAGTTAATAATCTCGCTTCAAAGGTCACAACAGTTCCGCAAGATGACGGTATCTGAACTGACGTCACAGATGTTCGACGCCAAGAACATGATGGCAGCGTGTGATCCCCGCCACGGCCGCTACCTCACTGTGGCTACCGTCTTCCGCGGCCGTATGTCTATGAAGGAGGTGGACGAACAGATGCTCAGCGTACAAAACAAGAACTCCGCCTACTTCGTCGAGTGGATCCCCAATAATGTCAAGACTGCTGTGTGTGACATCCCTCCCAGAGGCATGAAAATGGCCGCCACCTTCATCGGAAACTCCACTGCTATTCAGGAACTGTTTAAGGTAAATTTAAGATAATTAGGGGTAATACTATGGCTGTCAATTTCATCAGAAACTCTACCTCTACTTAGGGGCACAACAGCCGAGTGAATACAGCACTCGCCTCCTGTTATAATGGCCACTGGTTCGATACCCAGCTGTAAATGGGTCCCTAACTTTACGAAATTGGATGTGAAGGAGGTCGGTTGCCGTGTAGGCTCAGTATACAATAGGTCTGTATTATACATTCAATACATAACATTATGGCTAAGATACATTACTAGAATTGTTTTAATATTCTCCACTCTGCCTCCAGTGTTGTACATTTTATAAATACAATTATTTCAGTAAACTTAACAACGAAACTGCACAGAAATATATATATTTTTATACACTCAAAATAATGCTGTTTATGGTTAATATCTCCCAGAAATAACTACTGAAGCAGTTTGTAAATATCTTCCTGCCATTAGTGTTTTGAAATCATATAAATAAAATTACTTCCGTAAATAGAATATCAAAACTACCTTTATATTACTGTATCAAACAGATATAGCAACCATTAAAACAGTTAAAATGTCCTTCAATTTGCTTTTAGTGCTTCACAATATTGTATAGAAATGACAGCAATGAATTCTTACCATGGTGGTTTGTCCTCAGCGCATCTCAGAGCAGTTCACAGCCATGTACAAGAGGAAGGCTTTCCTCCACTGGTACACGGGCGAGGGTATGGACGACATGGAGTTCACAGAGGCTGAATCCAACATGAACGACCTGGTATCTGAGTACCAGCAGTACCAGGAGGCCACCGTTGATGACAGCATGGAAGACGAGGAGATGGAAGAAGACGAACTAGAGTACGATTAATAACTCCTACTTATTATAATAAAAAAAACCCACAACCAAACCGTCCACTGGAAAGCATCACCAACCGTCCACTGAAGAGAACGTCACACTGTCCAACACTGAACTTACGAACGCTGATAACTGCCCCCCTCCCCACCCTAACGTAAAGAATGCTGCAGAGAACGAGAATATGAGACAACGAGTGAACAATTAGAACGCTTTTATCTGGACATATCAACCATTTAAAATCAACAACACAATCACCCGTCCAACAAACACTCAAACCACGACCAACCAGGCACCGTATAGACAAGATTAAAGACCTAGATGACGTAGACAAAACTATTTACAAACAGACAACGTATAGACAACAATACAGACACCATAAACAAATACAAACAACATGCCACTGCAAATATCGCAAACAACACAACAAACTAAACAAAAAATGAAGACATGAAACAAATCAGTCAGTTGAAGGCAAACAAAAATACTAAACTTGACAAAAGATACATAAATGCAAATGACTGACTCGGAATTTAAGAACAGGAATTAATAGCCAATCGAGAGGGGAGAACAGCATGAACAGAGGGGAGAAGAACATAACACGATAACAAAAAACACGCAAGCCCAGCCAGAACTTATTACGTGAACTATGAAAATACATCAATCTAATACTTTCTCCAGACAACATAGTGGAGGCTATTGACTGAAGTTTCTCCGTTGTCTTCAGTATAATAACAAGTTTTAATGACGTATTTATGATTTAGTAGAATTAAACAAATAGATTATGAATTTATAGTGAAAATAATATTTCTACTACATGCGTCAAATGGTGTTAATTTGTATTGATAATGTAAACTGGTAAATAATAATGTGGATATAATTAATATATAATAACGTTTCAGTGTCTTACTATGCTTTATTCCTTCCAATAAATTATAATTTATGTACTCTAATTTAATTTCACTCATTTTCACTATAAATCATAATGCAAAGATACTCTTAGCACTTGTAATTTTTGTACGATACGTTGATGAAAAACTCAGTGTTTACGAGTATATTGCCATTACCTTTTGTATATGTGCTGGTGCAGGGGATTCATTGGCTACCCAGCGGCAGCAGAAGCCCACTACCATAACCCACTCGCTGTTTACACACTACGGGGAAGGGTTTACCTCCTCCATGTGCAGTAGTCAATGTCCCCAGGGGCACCAGAGCTCACCGCGGCCTGCCTTAACAGACATAGGACACCCCCACCCTCTATTATAGGAGTGGTTGGCGTCGGCAGCTCAAACAGGCTTTTATAAAACCCACGAGTTGGACTATCTCCTGAAGCGACGCATATGTATGTATTCCGTAACATTGTCACTAAAAGGGCTTTTCTCAAACCATAAGTTGAACTGTTCTCATAAAGTAAGGGTCATATACGTGTAATGTTATCACTGATTAGCGAGTTGTCACAGCATCAGCATCTGGCGTCACTATTTTAATGTGTTTTCTAGTGAAGAATATTTAAGTACTATCATACGTCGAGTAAACTGTGTTCATATTTTAGTCTAAATTAATTACCTACTAGGAATTTTGTTACTTAATTGCTCACTAGCTGTTCTGAATTGATTTATATCTTCTTGTAACTTTCACACTGTTGCCCTAGTTAAAGATCAAACGCATGACTTTGATTACAGTACATTGTTTACAAGAGGAAATCATTTTGTTTACAGTTCATCACGCTGCGTCAGAGGAAAACTTAACTGACACTCATAAACAGCACATATAAAAATATGATCATTACCACACCTCAGTTTCTCAAAGATTCCTAAGTTAATTCCCCCCTTTAAAGTCTAAATGGTTTCGAATACTATTTTGGCCATAAAATAAATGATCCAATTCCATAAATTTTTTACACCTACAGTTTAAGTAAGAAAAGAATTAACCTACAAGCCTTTGAGAATCTGGGACTCTTATTCTCCTATGGCCTATATCTGTTGGCCTACCTTCCTTATGTCATTTAATTCTCTCTGGCCACGTGGCTTGTATCTTACCGATGTGATTATTGTATTCTTCAACTATAGATGCATTTATTTTAAGGAGTGAGAATGAAAGTGTCATGTCAGATAAATAAAGTGTAAGATTAGCGACTTAAAATGACACGTGTGAAATTCCTACGTGTTGTTGATGACTGATGTACTAACTTATGTGTTGAAATATAATGTACTAATAGTTGTTGAAACGCAATGCAGTAATACATTATACCACCAACATCATACAACACAGTAATGTTTTCAGTTCGTCATTTTTCACGATTACAAATATCCTCTTTTTATCTGTTATAATTGTATCATTATTGTTAATATTTTGTAATTGTTGATTCGGTTAGTTTTGCTGTTTGCTATCAAGGCATCGGCACATTTTTGGTAAGAGCTTTACTGCAGGAGTGGAGAGTCTTCAAGTTTCTAAAAAGGATGTCAGATGGTTTTTGTAGGCGTTGGAGTTTGTGTCAAGTAAAGCATCACATTCCTGGGTTAGTATTCCTTCCCTATGACAAACACACGTCGTAAAGCATTCAAATCACTCAACAAATAGGAAAAAAAAAGCTAAAATTAAGAAAAAAGATAAAAAACATGAAGAAATAAGCGCCATGATCAATATATAAACCAACTATATGACATAAGTAACAGCTATTACACTTCTTACCTGTTTATATTTCCACGAAGCTAATTGAGGCAAAACATCTTCCCATTGCGTAACTATATGGAGAATTTATACAAGGACGGATGCTGTGTTAATCTCATCATTCTGAGGTTACTAAGACCTCTGACTGACATGGTGAGTCTTCTGAAATAAAAAAATAATTAGCCGTTGATAATAATGAAGCTGAAAATTTTGGAATGTAATTTATGGTCACAATTTATTAGTTAAACTCCAAATGAATCATAACAATATATAAGCAAGACCAGACAGAATAAGACCTTACCTATCTTTGTCCTGAGGAAATTTGTGATAAATGTAATTGGGGCGAATTCTTTGTCTTCTTTTAATTATAACGCATGTATGACGTCCACCTGTCATGGCCACAAGTGGGTGACTGAATTGAATTTCCCGCCCAGACCGCAGCCCAGGCAAGAGAGCCATCTAGCGAGCTTCCAACAAACTACAATCACACATCATCTCTTCCTTGTCTTCTTTATATAATATTTAATATACATATTAAACAAATTTATATATTTTTTATACAATATAAACCAACTGTAAATGTTCTGGTAATTTTACGGAATATATAGTAATATTGATGTTTAACCGAGATGGTCGTGTTTCACTTTCAACATTGGTCATCTCAGTACCTCGCCTTGCACCATGAGTAAACAAACAGATGGTTGAGGAACACTGACGAGGTAGTTGGTCCTCACTCAGTCTCTCTCTATCTTCAGGTAAGTTATGTAAGCTACGACCTATAGATACTCTGACATAGATATAAACAAAGATTATAGTCTGGACTTGCTTAAAATATCTCTAGAGGTCTTTATTTTGGTGTATAGCTAATTTATTAATTATTTATGCCTTTGCTATTCATACGAGAGGAATTATTTTTACAATGTGAAGAATTTTGTGTTACTCTTCATAATTATTATTATGGTTTTAAGTTATTTGGTGATAATTTACTGTTCTTTTACATGCAAATATGGTGTCTTAATTTATAATTTCACCATTTTTCAGCTTAGATACATTGGATATAGGAAAAAAATGTTTGTTCTCGAGGTCAGCCCATATATCCTCTTCTCAAATTAGGAAAACTTGGGTAAATTTTTCTTGTCACACCGTTCACTTTTAACAAGTTAAAAATATATTTTTCTAGTGTATTTGTGTGTGTTGAGACCGAATATGAACTTCCTTTTTGGCGGAAATTAGCTTTTTTTGCGATTTTTTTTTCGTTTGACGTTTTCCGAGAAAAAAAATGGCTAAGCGACTAAAAAATACAAAAAAAAAACACTAGAAAAACAATAACCAAACCTAACCTAACCTGACCTAACTTAACTGACTCTCACCATATGATGGAATCACCTATTTCTTACCTTATTGGCCTGGTTCTTGTTCGTCGTTGCATTCAGGGATTCTTACCCAACGTCACATATGTTGGTCTTTACGATATTTACATTCAGTCTTGCTCTTAGTACACTTTACTGAGGTTGGAAGGACACCATGCGATCGAAAAAATGCGATAGTTTCTTCGTTTTTTTTCCTAAAACTCGCAATCAGCTCCATATACTTTAAGTGACATCCATCGCAGGCTTCCATGGTCGGAACTGAACTTGAATTTCAAAATATGAGAGACCCAAAATAAAACTCGATTTTGATTGGGCCAAATATACTCTGAATTAAACCCAAAACCATTTTAATTGGTTCCAAAAGCAAAAAGGCTTTTGATTGGCCGCGTGAAGTGTACAGCAACGCATGCGCAGGATGATTTATGAAAGAGACGCAGGAGACACTCAGTGTTGGAGGAGAGGCAGACGATAATGGCGGGATGTTAATGGAAGAAAATAGAAAATATTTTGGAAAAGCCGTCTCCGTTATTATACATTTCCGCCGGTAATGTAATAGATGAAAATTATCTTATAATTAGACGTCTTATTCGAATATGATAATAGATTAGTGGTAGGAATGAACGGTGTGTAAAGAAAATAATACCAAAACTTGTTCCATACCTCGTGGCTAGCTCATATCCAATTTTACTAATAATTAACCAAATGATTCCCTTTAACCATCTATATTTGACTAGTTTTGTATTAAAGACAACTTCTTACTTATCTCATGACAACCACAATACCCAATCTACCTACCTACCTACCTATTATAATGTAACATTCTAACCTAACCAAACTACCTATTGTAATGTAACTTAATCTAACCTAACCAAACTTAACTTGTAATGTAACTTGATCTAATTAACCTAAAAGGGTGCTACGATAACTTGCAGCCTACAAGGTAGTTAGGTTAGGTTAGAATTAAGATATCATTGCAGACCACACACTATAGTCTGCGCGGAATGTTACATTGCGACAGGACCAACGAACAAAGTTCTCACGAAAATAAGATCATATGTTATGAGGCTGTCCCGGGATGCGAGATGTCAAAACGCTTGGTTGCTGGCGAGTGGTGACACTTGGCAACTGAGCACACGTCACGGTGTGTTTCCAGTGCGCCTCTGGCAAGTGTGAGGGGAGGATATACTTTGCGTGTTCCCTCGCCACATGGCCATTTTTTGTCTCGTTTACGGTGCATTACCCCAACATAGTGTCCATCAGAGATGTCCAGGAGGGTTAATACAAGGGACGACATTGCAGCAGTGATTGCATTGTACAAAGCAAACCATGTACTGAGAGATGTTTCTGCTCAGACTAGTGTGACTTTGCGTGTTGTCCAAAATCTTGTCAAGTGTTTCCATGAGCTTGGAGAGGACGTGTTGCCAGCTCCCCGACCCAAGTCTGGTAGGCCTAAATTATTGTCTCCACAGACACTTAAGGTTATTTCACGCCAAGTTAGGTCCAATCCGTCTCTCACAGCACGTGAAGTGAAAGAGAGAAACCCCCGTCTTCTGTGTCACGTCTCGTTACAGTGTGTTCAACAAGCCCTCTGCGATGACCTGGGATTTAAGAGCTTTCGTGCCCGACGTAAACCTCTGTTGACAAAGAAACAGAAGGAAAATAGAATGAAATTTTGCAAGAAATATGAAGTGTGGGATTTAGAGACATGGAGGAGTGTATTGTGGTCCGACGAGGCTACGTTTTCTGTGAATGGGAGTAGTGGAAGGAGAGTGTACCGCCCTCGTCACTCGAATGCACATCTCCCACAATACACTGTAAAGACTGTTAAGCACCCTGCCTAGCTTATGGTTTGGGCTTCCTTTATGTATTATGGTGTTGGTGAACTAGTAATCCTCCCTAAGAACCAGATGATGAATCAGTACAACTATCTTGAACTGCTCTGTGATTTCTTACCTGAATCATTTGATAAAGCTAAGGCAAGCCTTTTCATGCAGGACGGTGCCCCATGCCACACTGCTAAAAGTGTCATACAGTGGCTCAAAGACTGTGAGGTACCTTTCTTTAATGACTGGCCTGACAGTAGCCAAGATCTTAACCCAATATAAAATTTGTGGTCCATTGTTAAGCGTCGTCTGCGCGACGCTGACACATCATCAATCCCGAAGCTAGAGGCAGCCATCAAGGATACCTGGGCTAACTTGCCACCTGACCTCTTGCAAAACCTTGCTGACAGTGTTCCTCGAAGGCTAAAAGACTGCCTGAAGTGCAGAGGGAACACTACAAAGTATTAATTGAAGTGGTAAGTGTTACTTGACTTTATTTATATAACATAATCGTAAATATCAATATTTTTTCTGCACACGATGTAACATTCCATGCAGACTGTATAGTAGCACCCCTAAAAGTTTATATGTTAATTATATACAAAGACAAGTTAATATTCATAGTGTGTTTTATTTACAGATAATGTCAGGGGAGGATGATATAGTTAACCACAATATGAGATGCACAAGAATTGACTCGCAAAATAACGTACAAAAACATGAAGTCATCTCTAAAACCTTGCCGGGTACGTCAGGGTGGATTTGGTCCGATCACACGCTGGCTATCTACCAGAATGCACAGGCTTTTGTAGAGGCGGGAATCAAGCAACACAACAGTCGGATATTCCTGACGAGGTTGTTTCTGAAGCCCTGTGTCGTTGTGGCAGACAATCAGGCACTTCTTGAGTTACTTACAGGTGTGTGTTATGTGATGTTAGTTTGAAATGAGTTGTGTTAAAGTTATTAGGATATGCAGTTACAATTTAACCTTTACACTCTATTAAAAATGTTGGAATATGTTAAATTACGTTAGTTTTAAATGACTTATAACCCGCGTCTCTGTCTATAGAAAAAGAGGATCACTACGAGGCGGGCATGGACGAGTATTATGATCTGTTTGGGGATAATTTATTGTTTATGAACGGCCCTGAGGCTACACTGACCAGGAAGCTGCTTTACCCGTTGTTCAATGAGGAATCTAAGTCAGGTTACAAGGTGAGTAAATTGGTTAATACGAGTAAGTCTGATTATGAATGCACGAGTAAGTATGATTAAAAGGCTTATGAATTAATAAGTCTCGGTAAAACATCTATTTAAGAAGAAAGTCCGTTATATCGAGGGCCCATCAGATATGAAACCTCCATCTAACGGATTATATGATGAGAGAAGTCCGTTATATAGAGGTTTCACTGCATGTATAAGGTGAATAAAATGAATAAATTTGATATCTGACTTAGCATTTAAAAGAAGAAAAATACCTTTAAACACTGTAAATAAAGCTAAACCCTCATTACCATCCTATTACCATATTAATTTTATCAATATATTACCTGTCAAGCTATTCTATTCAATTTAATATCACCTTTTGTGTCTATAAATCGGTAGTCAAGTGTTTCCCTCATATGTGTATGGTCTTGGGTTTGATTCTTAGCTGGTATGTAGGATCGAGTTCCCTTCTTCTGGATAAAACCTTACACACTGTTGGGTACACTGGCCAATGTTGGAGCAGCCTTTTGAAGTACTTTCGGGTTAGTGTAGCTTACTAGGTACAGAATGTTAAGAATTATAACCTCCTTATTTATTTGTGTAGCCCCAGAAGGTACTTGGAACAGACAGGTGTTTTTATTAGGTTCTGTAGTCCAGGTCTTGCAACTTATTACAGTATATAAAGAAAATGTATAAATCCTCACGTGTACAGACTGTAGTGTAAATATATAAATACCGTAATTTATCTTAGTCTTAACCATATAATATTTAATCCTGTTTCTCTTATGTATGGAAGGATCAAGGGGCATAAAACCATCATTAAAGGTGTAGTAGGTGACAGATGACTGAAACTTCTGCACACACACACACACACACACACACACACACACACACACACACACACACACACACACATTTCCCTCCATATCCTCAATGTTCATACACAGTGTACTGTACAGAATAAAGCCCTAATTTAGTGTTGATATATACTGCTTCATATTAATCACTGCATGCTAAGTTGCGTCATCCTTAAACATTGTCTAGAAAATACCTGTAAAATATATAACTGACAATTTTTTTTTACTCTTCATTGATAGGAGGAAAGATTCACAATAAAATACCCAAAATTCTTACGATATATTTAAAAATTTCAGGCCATAACAAAGGATCTTGTAGAAACGTGGATATCAGAGCTAGACGCCAGCAAGCCTTTTAACGTTTATGAGTCAACAAAGCACTTTGCCCTTCTGCTGAACCTACGCCTGTACCTGGGGTTAGACCACAACAAGGAACCCCAGCTTGTAGAGCAGTTTTCTTCTGTAGCCACAACTCACTGGCATGGTAATACTGTACCTTATTGGTCTCCTGTGTTTATCAGTTGGCCTCAGTCACTGGACCAACACCACACGAGGAATAGTCAGATGCTTGTCTTGTTTCTCTCTTATTAGTGGTGTTAATTTTTATTTAGTTAATAGAGCTAGTAATATTTTTAAAACTTATCTTTTATTAATTTTATATTAAATAACAGTGAAAAGAACGAAAATTAGTGTAACACTAGTACCTGTACTATACTGCATACTATTTTATCTCTATTCCTTATATACGGTAGCTCAAATTTTGTTTCGTTGTTTCTGTTTTGAGAAGTCTGTAATCTCTCTCTCTCTCTCCAGTTTTATCACCATCATCATCATCATCATTTAACAGCCATTTTCCTTGATTGTGTTTTAGCTGCAGTTACCTGATGGCAGCTCTCCATTCTTCATGGTCTCTTGCAGTCACTCTTGTCAAGTTCCTAACTCTCATGTCATTTCTGACAACCTCTCTCTCTATTTCATTCTTGGTTTAACCTTGGCTCTCCTCCCCTCCACATTTAGGTTCATGCAACTTGTGACTCAGTTGGTCTCACAGAATGTGGGAGGATAGGGTTGCTTCTCTCCATATAGCTTCCCTCCTGTTCTAGGGGTTGCTGGTTTGATCCCAGGACACTCTCAGTCCACCAACCTGTAAAAGGGTACTAGTACTTAATTTTACAGTTGGGGAAGTGAAGGTGTTCAAATGGGGACTCAGTTATACTGCCACTATGTGTAATGAAAGCCTAGTATATAATGTGTTGTATGTACACTGTCCCTGTGAGGCCTCTGTGAATGTGTTGTATGTACACTGTCCCTGTGAGGCCTCTGTGACTGTGTTGTATGTACACTGTTCCTGTCAGGCCTTTGTGACTGTGTTGTTTGTACACTGTCCCTGTCAGGCCTCTGTGACCTACTTTCTATTTTTTACCTCCTTGATGGGTGTGTGGTGGCTGAGTGGACGCAGCACTCATATCCTCTCATGAATTCCCTTTTATGGCTTAAGGAATCTCAGACCGTGTGTGTCTACTTGAGAGTTTCAATCCTTAACCTGAGACTAAACTGGTCTTTTGGACAACTGCTGATTCATATGACATCAAATCTTTGGTCATAGTTCAGCTGGGAGAGCAGACTGTGGGCAAAAATTACCAGGAATTAATTTAGTGCTCTTTCTCACAGGTTGATGTGTTTCTTACCCTCACTCATAAAAGGGATTTCATATTTCAACCCATTATATATTTTCTTACACTGAGGAATTATTTTATTTCCAGGAATGTGTTCTCTGCCTGTAAACATCAAAGTTCCTGGTCTTAAGTCTGGTTTTGGTCAAGGTGTTGATGCTAAAGATGAACTGCTGCTACTTCTCCGAGAACGTGTTAACAGCATGAAGGACCACGGTGAGGGTGAACTTATCTTGTGATCATAAATGTTCTTCCTAATGATCAGACTTTATTCCTACTGATTTTCAGATTTCTGTCTAGTGCACATCCTAAAATATAATAATTATTTAGAGTTCTTGTATAAAAATGACCCTTTTTTTGGCCTCTCAGTGACCAGGTTGAAGGGGAGAGAAAGCCTTGATTATATCAGACTGGAGTTAAGCTTGAGTATATTTTATAAACAACCTTTCAGTACAGGGAGGTACCAGAAAGATGTATCAATAGATAAACTTAATATTTTATGTCTCTCTTTCAGCATTCCTGGTGAATATGTCAGAGAGCATCCCTAGTGAAGAATTACAACTAAATCATCTCCTTGTGTGTTGCTGTGCCATCATCCCTAAGGTCTTTGCTTCCGTCCTCACATCCTTCATCCTGATGGCCCCCTCATGGAAGCCATATTACCAGGTAAGACACACTTTTTGGACATGTGAATTGATATTGTGTTAGTGGGTGTTAGTAGGTTAGTGGGATCCTCACAGATGCCTGCCTTTCCTGATTGGTTTATTGAAAGCCATTTATCACAGAATAATGTTCCTATTTTCTACACGCCATCAAGCCAAAGAACCAGTTAATGTTATATTGAGAACCTGAACACAGCTCCAGATTCAAGGAGCAGATCTAGAATCCTCGTGAGGTTTGAGTTGTGGTAAAACTTGGATGGTAGAGGTGTTAGTGTACAGGTATGAGGAAAAAAAATTACAGTGTACAGATATATTGATTATTCTTAGCACTCTTTGTACCTTGGCAGACTTGTTCATCAGAAGAAGAGAAGGAAGCAGCACTTGATAAAATCCTGCTGGAAGTAATGAGACTCCTACCGCCTACTACGGGCGGGCGACGGGTTGCTCGACGGGATACACAGCTGAAGGGTTATGCTATCCCATCCGGAATGGTCGTTCACTTCAGCTTCTTTGGGGCCCACACTGACCCTGCTGTATTCCCGGAGCCAAACAAGTTTCGGCCAGAGCGATGGGTCGAGGAAAACAAAAATGATCGATGCAGGATGTTTGCCTTTGGAGCTGGACCACGAGAATGTATTGGCAAGAAAATGATATGGGACATTATATTGGTAAGATTATTGTGATTAGAATCTTCATAAGAATCTCACTAGCTATGAGGCTTCTGGAAGATTAGAACTCCTCATTTAGAAAATATTCACAATGATGATTAATGATACAGCTAAACACATAACTTAGTGACCTTGCTGAATGACTTGGGGAAACTTAAGTACTATACACCATAGCAATGTTTAAAGCATATGTTTTTTATATAGGTTTTTCTTATGTCAAAGCTAAACTAACCAATTTTCAAGCTTTTATTAATATGCACCGGTATTGAAATTACAAAATCTCTCTCTTTCAGATATTTTGCAAAGCCTTCGTCCACAAGTTCGAGTGGGAGGTATCGGGCGATCACCTGAAGCAACTCAAGTTCATCCCTGCAGTACGTCCCAAAAAGAAACCTCACATCCAGCTACTGACTAAACTAAACTAGTGGTGGTGTGTCTTCTCAGTAAGCTTTATAGTACAGTAGTTCAGTGGGGTAGAGAGGTAACAGTGAAGAGGGTGTATGGCGCACAAATTTTCACAGCTTGAATTAGGTGACTAAAAAATTTGCCGTCCTTTAAAGCAATTAGAAATTAACAACCTGTGCTCTTCCCATTGGTTGACACAAGCAATTAAAACATAAAAATATGATTCATTTACTGGGTAACTGGTAAAAAATAAACAGTTCGGGTTGAAAAGTAATCGGCCATTCTTTTGCCGGTCTCTTGAAAATTGAGAAGAGTGTTAATGGTAATGATTTTTGTGATATATGTATATGTTAACTTATTTATATTACCTGGTAGATCATACACAAAATTACCCATTATTTATATCGAGGTTAAAGAATCTGTATTGTGTGATTTAACTTGTTTTAAACCCTTTGTACACAATTTCTGATCCTCCTCTCACTTCCTCCTTGCTTTTGTTTTTTCTTTTTGTGATAATATTTCTTCTCTCACTACCTTCCTCCTCCTCCTCCTCCTCCTAACCACACTCTCTTTTGTTTTCTTCATCTCTTGTTATAACTGGAGGAATTTTTCTCTCTTCCCTTTACCCCTGTACTCTTTTGTTTTCTTCATCTCTTGCTCTGAGTACATTTCTTCCTTCACTTCCCTTCCCCCTTCACTTCCTTTTTGTTTTTCTTCATATCTTCTTCTACCCAACACACAAGAGAGAAATAAAGACAACAGATAGGGAAGAAGATAAGAAGGCATTTTGGCCAAGGAAGGTGATCCTTTATCGGTAAGAACAGTCCGTGTGGCCCCGAGTGTGGGACATTTGCGTGTGTTGAGAGGAGGCTGACTGTAGGTTCGATCTCTCTTGCCAGTTGTAAGTCACCAAGCAGCTTCAAGGTATAACATGAAGGTTAGTGGCTTCTGATACACTGCATAATAATGAGTTTGGGACCAGAAATCATAATAAAAGTTGCTGTAGTTAATTAGTTAGTAATTTTGTGGGGTTTTTTAAGGGATACAAAATACCATATGCTATACAGTATTTTTCAAGGTTGCATAATATTTCAAAGTATAAAAATAGTGAAACATATTTTTATATATCAGGTAATTGAAACAATGATATATATATATTAATTAATTTATTTTTATATTGATAATTTTCCCATTTCCAGAATAGTTATTTTTTGTCTCTCTGTCTTTCTTATTTGTAGTCAGTGAGTTGCATACTGTGCTTGATATACTCACCACAACAGAAACAATGCAATTACACCCACCAGTACACTCAATAGACGACAGAAACAATACCTTTACACCCACCAGTACACTCAATAGACGACAGAAACAATACCTTTACACCCACCAGTACACTCAATAGACGACAGAAACAATACCTTTACACCTACCAGTACACTCAATAGACGACAGAAACAATACCTTTACACCCACCAGTACACCACTCAATAGACGACGTAATACTACATCTACCATCAGCACAAGATGGCATTGAGATGGTTGGTGGCGGACATGCATCATGTTATTTATAGATGTTTATATACTGTAATGATATATTAATAAAGTATTGAATGATGTGTTATGACAGGATATAAGTACAGGTACAAGGTAGATCTGATGTCATATATACCATTATAGAGTTGTAAATATATGTGATCGATCTATGGCAACAAGTGGAGTTGATCTATGAGAGGGAAACACAGGGAAAAGAAATAAGTTTATTTATTTCTTGAACGTTTCAGAGTGTAGATGGGTTCTGTCTTACCCAAAACGTTAGAGTTTTAAATTTAGCTCTTTCCTGTGTTTCCCTCCCACTCATCAAATTTGTGAATATATATTGTAAAGTTACTCAGTCAACTCAAGTCATCTCACTCTAGAACTGACATGTTGTATTTAGGTCTTTCATGTTTATTGATGAATTAATATCATGGTTTCTATATACTGTACTGTATTGCAATTTGAATTTTATGACCAGAATATTTGTTGATGGTCATGATTTTTTGTAATGATGTGATAAGTAAGAATTTTAAACTGCATGGTGAGCAGATATTAACAAGTGCCTAAGATCCTTTTACATGCTTAGGGATGTGTGTGTTCACTCTACCATGCATTTTTCTGTTACTTGTTAGATGGCGTGGAAGTTGTTGACAGTGCTACATGCTTCTCGGTAAATCATTTGTTATATACTTATTCTTTTATTGTTGTGAGTGAGGTGAAAATGGGGTGAAGGTGGGGATGGCCAGCTTTTTGAGGTAGTGTAGGTGGCCAAGTGTTTTAGGGTAGTGTAGGCGGCCAAGTATTTTAGGGTAGTGTAGGTGGCCAAGTGTTTTGGGGTGGTGTAGGTGGCCAGTTGTTTTGGGGTTGTGTAGGCAGTGGCCAGTTGTGTTGGGGTTGTGTAGGCAGTGGCCAGTTGTTTTGGGGTTGTGTAGGCAATGGCCAGTTGTTTTGGGGTTGTGTAGGCAGTGGTCAGTTGTTTTGGGGTTGTGTTGGCAGTGGCCAGTTGTTTTGGGGTAATGTAGGCAGTGGCCAGTTGTTTTGGGGTAGTGTAGGTGGCAGGTAGTCATTTCGCACATCACAGGGCTTTTCAGGAACGAAAGCCCTTGCAATAAACAAGGACTTCTCATAGTCAAATGAAGATCTCAACCAACCCAAGTACTGTAGTCTAGTAATATGTGGAATATCATTATGTACAGTAGCTAAAATAACTATCTGTGCAGGTGGGGGTCGATATGCTCCGAAATTTTATGTGTGACTAGTGACAGCCCTCATATACCAAAATGTATCTTCCATGGTCTCATATTGTTTCCCACAAAGTATGCACAGGTAGTTGTTTTAGCTGCTTTACTTTGCATTAAGAACATTTTTTATGATTGATACTGTATCTATCGGTTATGAAAGTTTAACCCAAGTGGCTGTAAACTCATGTGTGGCTCTCAGTATGCCTGCGTAAGAGAACTGGATATGTCTTAAACCGTCTGTAGGATAAATAGCCTCACACACAAGTCAGTCTGGCCATAATACTGTACTCATGTTTAGTATATAACAGTTCAAACCTAACCTAACATAACCAAACCTTGCCTAACCTAAGATCATAATGTCTGGTGAAGTCTAACTGGTTAAGGTCAATCATCATAAGTATTATATTTATTTTGTACACAGGTTATTGCATATGGTTCTCAGCTCTACGTAAGATAGGTTGAGGGCTTGACTTGACTTAGTAGCAACAGTTTGATATAATATTTAGGTTTTAGGGGAGGGTGGGGTGGGGGGGTGCAGATGACCAATTTTTTTAAGCTTACAGTACAAATATCATGGATCTTGGTGTCATTTTATTTTTTATCGTATTTTAATCTTTTCCGACACACCACCGACCAAAGTGTCTGATCGCATCTGTATATCTGATCATAGAGAATAATCTCATCTTGAACATTGTAAATCTCTTAATAAATCTGTATTCATTAAACTACAGTGAAATCTCTATCTAGTGGACAACATGTAGAGATGAAAGTCCGTTATATCGAGGGTCTGTTAGATGTGAAACCCCCCATCTAATGAACTATGTTGAGTTGAAAGTCTGTTATATCGAGGGTCCGGTAGATGGGAAACCCCTCATAATGGATTATGTGGGGACAGAAGTCCATTATATGTAGATTTCACTGTATTCACATTACTGTAGAGTGTCATTCATGGTAATAGTGACTTACTGTACATAAGCCACTACCCTTGTGATCATAGCTCTCTACATTTGGACTACCTACCTAAATATTTACTAAAACTCTCTAATTTATTGGTTGTAATGTTGTTACTTGTACCCGGCCCGCTGGATGATATGTAGATATCTAAAATATGATGAGAGAGAAATCTTATGTTCGTTAATGTATGCATAAAATAGAATCATTAACAATGTCTGTACTACCTCTCTCTAAATTAACAAAGCTTAGTAAAATAAAGGACTATACTTGTACTGTGTTATTGAACTTAATGTTGTAAAAGTGGAGTTCATTTGTCCTGTCCTAGATGTTAAATGTGTAATAGAAAGGGCTGTAACATGTAAGTTTTTCTTCTGTAGTCACCAAAGAGTCTCTCTCCAGTGGGCATCTTGTTTTGGTAATGGCCGTTCCAACAATTGTAGGTATTGGACTGGAGTAATCTGTTAACTTTATTCTAAGATTTTATTTAATCATGTTATTTAATTGAGAGTGTGTGCTGTATGTTCATTTCTGGCTATTGTCTTTCAGTCAGATAACTTGTAATATATTAACGGTCCTCAAGGTATGAGTTATATTAGGCGTACTGAGCTAACATGGGCAGTAGCAGAAACAGGCTCAGTGTGGCATTAGTGTCAATATTACTGTCAGGTTAAGTGAAGAATAGAATGAAGAAATAGAAAGAATAGTAATTAGTTTGAGTAGAAAACTTATGAAGTATAAATGGTTTTTGAGGATGTCAGTGTTGCTGGTGGATAATGTTCCCTTATGTGTAGTAACAAAGGTAAAGCAGTTCCTTACCTTGGGACTCTGTTGTGGGAAGGGAACACATCTGTCATAACAGTTAGAGGGATTAAATGACAGCAAATAGAGACCAAGAGAGAGACATGTTTGCTCTTGACTTAGTGGACAACTCTGTAATGATATACCGGTACCTAGTGATCTGATGACATGGTTTAACAGTTTCTTAAAGGTAAGGATGCTGTGCAGTGAGATTCAGTTAATGTCCAAGTTAATATACATGTACTGTTTCTTGTGTGAGTTTATTTATTTACATTAATATATAGGCTGGCATCAGTCATGAGTCCAAGGCATGTAGTTTTACCTTGAGGGGTACAGGTTGTGCTTCAGACTCACTCTTGACTCTGTTGATTCGTGTTGATTAAACCATTAGTGTAACTTTTCCATCACATTCCTCGACTGAGGGAAGGGTAGAGTGTGGGTGGTGGGGCTTTATCACTTGTGGCTAAGAGCTAAGTGAGACTGTACTTTATGCTGTGCCAGGCTTGTGTGTTTCAGATATTCCTGCTCTCAGAAGAGGGTTTCATTTCTTACCCTCACTCTCTCACTTGGGTCAGCCTTAGGCCGAGTCATAAATTGTTATCAAGGAATGTTTCCTAGTTTAAGGCAGGACATTTACTCTTAGGCACAACAGATACATGCTGGCTATCATATTCCTGGTAAGAGGATTAGTGCTTCTGTTAGAATTAGCTGTTGAGATGGTACGGAGGCAGCATGTGTAAAGAACTCCAGTGTTTTATTTTTTATCAAAGAAATCATGGAGCTGGACTGTGTAGTCAAGGAAGAGTCAAGTAATTTCATTGTAAGCATGACTGTGTGAAGTTGATATATTATGTTGAACAATATTGGTGTATAAACACATATACTGTACTGTACTGGTATAAATTTGAATCAATAATGTATAGAGCATTACACTTATATTTAAATATATTTATTTTAATTGTGTAAATACTTTTTAAAGAGATATATTCACAATATTTATTTATTAATATCAAATCATCAATTCTTTACAAAATAAAGTATATTTAAATATATATATTTTAATACTTTACAAAAAAAAGCTTTCTTATTGCAATAAACTTTATGAAGGTTTAAAGAGATTATTTCTTTCAACAAATTCTTCAGCTTCCCCCTCTTTAAGTACTGCAGTTGATGGAGAAAGAGTGTGTGACGTTATCTGTAATACTGTACATCATTGTCCTGAAGTACTCGCCCCAAAAAGTATCTTTACAATTTTGTGTGAGACAATATGGCACAACAATCAAACTGAGTCATATTTTGTTTACACTGTTGCTTGATCCTTAAAGTCAACACTGGCCATAGCACAAGGCCATCCTGCAGCTGGACACCTACTGCTGCTGCTGTAAGCCACCAGGTCTCTTATATATGAATCTACAGACACACTGGAAAGATTCAACTTGTGGTGGTGTGCATGTGTTTAACGTTTATATGATACACAGCTAAATTGACCAAGCCCAATCAATATGACTGAGTCTACGTGTTACTATTATATGTTATAAAATTACTGTGCAAGTTCTACTAGACTCCAAGGATACCCCTCAACTAACACAAGTTTATTTTTCGGACATTCTTTCATGTCATGGTAAAGTACTAAGGCCATGGTAGAAGAAATTTATGTACAGGGGTATTAAGAGTAGGTAACTATAGCCTGTGTTTACTATCTATAAAAGTGGTATTTGTCAAGTCTATTTCTGCTACATTCACAGAGTTTGTTGAAGTGGTTTTATATTGATGTATAGCAATGTAATCAAGTTATTTGTAACATTTCCCTTATGCTAAAGTCACTCAAACATTTATTGAATTACATTTGTTTCATACAAACGTTTATGACATTTGAGATGACCTATCTGGGAGAATCATTTCCCACATTCCTCATATTCAAACTCTGCTATGCCATTGTATAAAAGTAAATGTATCTTAAAAGTAGACTTTAAGGAAAATTGTTTGCCACATTCCTCACAGGAGAGTTTTTCTTCACTGCTTGACATTGTGTAGCCACTGGCAAATTATATCAGCTTGGGGTAGTCTCTGGCAGTTTATATGAGCTTGGGTAGTCTCTGGCAGGTTATATCAGCCTGTAGTCGTCTATGGCAGGTTATATCAGCCTGGGGTAGCCCCTGGCAGGTTATATCAGTCTGGCGTAGCCTCTGGGAGATTAAATCAGCCTAGGGTAGCCTCTGGCAGTTTATAACAGCCTGGGGTAGTCTCTGGGAGGTTATATCAGCTTAGGGTAGCCTCTGGGAAGTTATATCCTGGGGTAGCCCCTGGCAGGTTATATCAGTCTGGCGTAGCCTCTGGGAGATTATATCAGCCTCGGGTAGTATCTGGCAGTTTATAGCAGCCTGGGGTAGTCTCTGGGAGGTTATATCATCTTGGGGTAGCCCCTGACAGGTTATATCAGCCTGGGGTAGCCTATGGCAGGTTATATCAGTCTGGTGTAGCCCCTGGTAGGTTATATCAGTCTGGGGTAGCCTCTGGCAGGTTATATCAGCCTGGGGTAGCCCCTGGCAGGTTATATCAGCCTGGGGTAGCCTCTGGCATATCAGCCTGGGGGTAGCCCCTGGCAGGTTATATCAGCCTGGGGTAGCCTGGCAGGCAGGTTATATCAGCCTGGGGTAGCCTCTGGCAGGTTATAGCAGCTTGGGGTAGCCCCTGGCAGGTTATATCAGCCCAGGGTAGCCTCTGGCAGGTTATATCAGCCTGGGGTAGCCCCTGGCAGGTTATATCAGCCTGGGGTAGCCTCTGGCAGGTTATATCACCCTGGGGTAACCTCTGGCAGGTTATATCAGCTTGGGGTAGCCCCTGGCAGGTTATATCAGCCCAGGGTAGCCTCTGGCAGGTTATATCAGCCTGGGGTAGCCTCTGGCAGGTTATATCAGCCTGGGGTAGCCTCTGGCAGGTTACAGTATATCAGACCTTGTCTCATTCTCTAAACAGAATATCATTCATTAATTCAACTGGCAAACCAGCCGTAACAAATCATATTTAGTATTTATTTATATTATAATATTTAATGTTTAAATTCATTGTAATGGTACCTATAATAATGTTAAACTAAACTTAGGTCAGTGGCTGGAAAATCGGATAATTATGGCACTAGATACAAATTTACCAGAATAAATTAAAATAAAATTGTTCCCTTTTTAAAGCGAATTTATTAATATTCTATTATAATAAACAGTTTATAGGCTTATAACATCACGGTGTGAAGTGTTTGGGCTGTTTGACTGTTTTCAGTTGCCAACTTGCCCTGATGACATCTGAATTGTACAGTAACCGACCACGCACTGGACACTGGGGCGCCTCCTGGCTGTGATGTAGGTAATTATTGTTATTTAAACCAGATATATATTGTAATCTGTACATAAATTTAATAATTACTTCATTCTGATATCATATAGATCATTATAGAGTTGATTATTTACATTGATATATTTATATAGTTGTGTTTTTGCTGAATAGTTAATTCTGGCAAAGCAGAGCCGTAACAACCAATATTGTAATAAATGTTCAGTATTTATGACAGTCGGTTAAGAACAACTCTAAACACATAAGAGGTAATATTCGGAAGAGATTTGCCAAGTTATTCTTAA